CTTCTGTGGCCCCGCATTCTCTGCCCGTTGTGGCCCCCGCTCGTTCGCGCAAGTCGTGGCCCCATACGCATGCCCTTCGTGGCCCCCTTGCTGCTCTTTGTGGAACCCATCACTGGCCTTTGTGGCCCCGCTGTCGCTCTCGCTCGCGCGTTCGCTCGTCGTCGTCGTCGTGGTCGTCGTCGTCGTCGTCGTCGTCGTGGTCGGGTCCCCTGTCCGTCCCTCTCGGGGTCGGGTTGCCGCAGGTCGGCGCTGCCGCTGACCAGGCCGACGGTCCGCGGCCGCCCCGCCGCTTGCCGGGGCCCGGCCTGCAGGGAAAACAGATCTACCCCCCAAAGGTGGCACGATCGAAGACGAGGAGGGCGGGTATCGAGAGTTTGGGAGATACGCATTGAATGTCACTCGAGCAGATAAGAGCGAACAGTATTGACATATTTATTGTTGTGGTCGTTGCTGTTTTAGTTGTTCTTGTTGTTGAGTTCCCAATTCTAATGAATACGTTATGGTGATCGTCCCTTCCTGGTAACCATATCATTTGTCCATTAAAGTGTTTTCCCCAAGGCTCCTACCTGGTTTTTTATTAACCCGGGAAAGTGAGGTGTCACCAAACTGGGCCCCTGGCCCCCGAGTTACAACAACGGCTCCCGCCTGATAATTCATCCGAAGTTTTTCCCACATCGCGCTCTCGCGCGGGATCTCCTCACGGGTTATGCAGAATCGCGCTCTCGCGTGGGACTTCCTCACCATTTACTGAATCGCTTCGCTCATTCCGCTGGCCCATGTTGCCTCGCCGCTGTCGTTTGTCGGGGTGCTGTTGTCAACGCGTTGCGGTTGCACGGCTGCCATTTTTCGGAGGCGGTGGGTGGCGGGTCAGAGGCCTCACGGATGGTGATTGGGCTCTCGTGGTTGGTCTTTCAGGGGGCCTTTTGGGAGGCAGTTTTGAGGACGATGGAAGACGAAGAGGGCGGTTACCGAGGGTTTGGGATATACATGTCGAATGGCACGCGAGCAGGTAAGAGCGAGCACTATTAGCATGATTGTTGCTGTTGTTTCATTTGGGCGAGCCGCAGCTCGATTGGCCTCCCCGAGG